TGGCCAGAGGTAGTACAGTCGAGTTGCGATTTGTACCCCTCCCCTCCCCCCCCTCAACCCTCTCCTCCTTCTCAGACTTGTGAGATGAAACCCTTTCCTTCTTGCCTTCCTCACATTTTCTCCCCCTTTCCCTCCGTCTTCCTTCCTACCTTGCTCTTTCACACCTACTCTTCTTCCTCTTTTGCTTCGCCTTTCCAACTTCTTCACCCTTTCCTTTATGTTTTTTCCCATCTCTCTTCCCTCTTCTCTCCCACCCTCCTCCTTTCATTCCCTCCATCTCCTTTCCTTTTTTTTTTCTTTTTTTTGTTTAAGCAAAGATTGCATTCAAACCAACATAAGTCTAATCATACAGAAGCCGGATAACCAAAAACATGCAAGTGTGTAAAACATCATTACACATTAGCGCATGCGTACCAAAATGATCAGACTCCTAGAATCGTAAACGTGCGTGAGAAACTTTGATCAAAATCACAAAAGTAATCTTCGAAAAAAAAAAGGCCAAAGTAACATCAGTCATTAGTCCTTACAGGTTAGAGCAAGGATCCTGGTTTAGAAAAATGATCAAAGAATAGCCAAAAAAAAACACGTGCAGTTAACGTTAAGAATCAAATAATGTGAAAACATTTCCTAATGGTCATCCACCCAACACCAAGTATCTCGTACATAGTCATAAGAAACTAGCATTTCATTCTACAATACCTATCCCAGCAGAGTTCGCATCTAGCATTACACATGTGAGAAATGTTATTGACAGTAGGATATTGATAAAAATGTTGCAAGATAGCGACCGAAACAATGGCATCGAATCGTACAAAGCAGCGTGAGTGCCAGTAAGATATCCTAATAGATTGCACGGGTCTAAACCTTATCCTACCCAGAAACATGCATGTAATAGCGCAAGAGAGATAGCGTAGTTAACAATAAGTCTGCGTAAACAAACAGATGATCAAATCAATCATCACAGACTAAACATTCTAAGCAGGCCAAATAAGATCCGACCCCTTTAGGTTTTACATATGAGAATGAGAAGTTTGGATTAACCAAAACGCATAAGAAAGCCCTGTGATTAACCCTACATAGCTAACAAATGTGATTAGTTAAAAAATAACGGCAACACGAAATCCTCATGTATTACTTAAATCTTTATGTTTGCTTGTTAGCAGCGGATAATACCATCATCCGCGAAATCGTGCAAGTATTACACCTGCGAGTGTGATATCGGTAGTATAATAGAAAACTTATTGCATAAGGCTGGAGTCCTAACAACGTGGTGGAAATCAAAAGCTCAAAGACTTAATAGGACAATTATCAACTTTCAAGAGTGAATCCTCTAAAAGACTAGGAAAGGCATGCGTGTTATCGGTGATCAAACCTAAAAAGCCACCAATCTTAAAACAACCGAACGAGCCAATGAGATTCATCGCTAAGCCTTACCGCTCTGAATCACGAATCCTGGTTAAGAATTAGTTTAAGCAAAACAAGTGAAAACTAGTGGTTAACCTTCCGAAACAACCATGAATGAGAAAAAGGTTTGGGTTGTTGGTAAGTGCTTCCTTGATTTCTCCCGCCATGCGAAGGTGGTAGATTGTGCCAGGTTTAATTCCGAATAAAGGTTACCGTAGTTAAGCCCATAAGATCCTTAGCTTAAGAGTTGCGATGGCAAGGCGGTTTCATACAAAGCAGCAAGATAAACATTGATGTGCGAGAGTGAGATCCTTGTCATAAAGGAAGCATGCGTGCAAAGTGACCAGGATTCTTGGAGCGTAAGCTAGTGTGAAAGAGAAAACGAACTTTGAAATTAGACAGTCGAGACCAACCAAATAAGATCTATCGTTAAACCTACTAGAACAACGAGAGAAATGTGGTTTAGTGTTACGGATAAATCGAATGCAAAACAGGTTTCCAATGACGCTTATTAAGCATGAGGTAACTTAATAATGATAGTTATATCATGTTCACATCAGTTGGTAACACCATACAGCGAAGTTCTTGCTAGCATTACTCATGATGAGTGTGTTATCGGCAGTGGCACAACGTGAACGAATTGCAGGGATTGCGTTCAAGTCATAGGAGTTTGGTCGTTTAAATAAGTGTGAGTAACAGTGAGATAAACTAATAACCTACAGGATTGTAACCTTTATCCTACTTACAAAAACATGCGTGTAAGGTCAATCAAAGCTAGTTCAAGCACGATCCGATTTTACCGTGCTGGTCAGAACTAGAAATTTTTGGATTAAAGTTAGCATCTAGCATTATGCAACGTGAAATAGCTTAATAACTTGTAGAGGCGATTAACCCTTAACCTACTCCGAAAAACCTACATGTAAATAGCGCATGGGAAAACATAGGAAAGAAATAAGTCTGCATAGGAATAAATGATCGAATTGAAGACCACAAAACTAATCATTCCAAGCAGGCCACTGAGGATCGACACCCCTTTCTTTCCCCTTTTTTCTCTTTTTTTTATTTTTATTTTTATTTTTATTTTTAGATGAGAGTGAGAGACTTGAAATGGTGTTGACAAAAAAACCATTTGACTAACCCTATACAATTAACAAATGTGGTAAGTTTAAAAGAGCGTCAACACTAATCTTCAAATATTACACCGATATTCATGTTTGCTTGTCTTCGGCGAGCGATACCCTCTCCAAAGGATTCTTGTTAGTATTACCTGTGAGTATGATATCAGCAGTAGACGAAAAACAACTTATGCCATAAGGCTAGAGTCCCAACAATGATGGGGATAAGAAGCAGTGTCAAGGCTTAAACAAGACAACTATAAGCGTAAAAGAGTGAAACTTCTTAAAACTAAGGGCGACATGCATGAAACAGATGATCAAAAACACACAGAAGCACATCTTGCGTGCAACCAATAATCAAAAAATGAAAAAGAAGCAAATGAAAACGACCGAAACGAGTCAAAGGGAAACATCGTTAAGCTTTACTGATTCGAACTAGAATCTTGATTTCAGCAACCCACACAAAACCTTGTGGAAAAACCTTTCGAATCAACCAGAATGTGAAAGAGGCTTCTTAAATGGGTTGCTGGTTAGTGCCTCCGAGATTAATCTCACCATGCGTAGGTGGAAGATTGTGACGGATTTAGTTCCGAAAAAAAATGATCGTAGTTGAGTTCATAAGGTTTTTAGCTTGGTTACATACAAAGCATTAAGACGAATATTGACGTACAAGAGTGAGGTTTGAAAGTATGCGTGCAGGGTGACCAAAATTCCTAGAAACATAAGCTAGTATGAAAAGAAACTGAACCTCGAAACTAAACAACCGAGACCCAGCCAAATAAGATTTGTCGTTAAACCCTTACTGAAGCAAACGAGAATTGCGGTTTAAAAGTTACGGATGAATCTAATACAAACAGGTTTCCATAGTGGTGCTTCACCAGTCATAAGGTAACTTCTAATTATAGACATACGATGCTCGCATCTCGGTCTGCAAAATTAATCCGACAAAAGTTCTTGCTAGCATTATACATGATGAATGTGCTGTTCGTAGTGGTACAGTGTGAACATGATACAAGGATTGCGCTCGAATCATAGGAGTCGAGTCGTTCAAGTGAGTGTGAGAAATAATGAGATAAGCCGATAAATTAACAGGAGTGTAACCCTTATCTTATTACAAAAAAAAATGTGATAATACTAAAACTAATAACACAAAAACAACATAAGCATGCTTGTAAACAGAAATGATCAAACTCGAGAATATCAAATTTAGACTTTCGAAGCCGATTACCTTACAAGGGACCCTGAGGTTAAGCCATATGTATCAAGCAAAGGTGAACAGGTTATAAATGACGCATAACGCCCATCCGTGAGTATTACTGAAGTAGTCATAACGACGCTCATTCTCATCCAGAAGTATCGTACTCAGCACATTCATGCTAGTAATACACCAGAGGGTGAGATATCAGCAGTAAAATAGCATACGCATGGTGTAAAGCTGCGCCCGAACACCTAAGAGTCAGCGTAAGAACCAACGGGACAAACCATAGGCGTGTAAAAGAGTAATCTTCAAGGAAGCATGCATGGAAATCCGTGATCGATTGAAGTAACTAATCTGAACAACCTGACCAATCCAATAAGATTTATCTTCAGGTCGGTAACAAATAGAAAAGAGAGTCATGCTTCAGGACTGATATAAACAGAGTACTAGAAACATATTGGTTAACCATACTAGACAAACAAATGTGAAATACTTCATGATGCGTTGCTGGTAAGTGCCTTATTAATCTTTCCTTTCGTGTGTAGGTGGAGAATTGTGACAGGTTTTGTTCCAAGCAAAGGTGTCGGTGGTTGTAAAGGGTTGGGTTGGAGGTTAGGAGATAATACTAAGTTACGAATTCTCGAGAAAGGTGCTTGCTCTTATTGCCTTTCTACTGGCTATAGAGCAGTTCGTAATAGTAGGAGTAGGTTGTTGATGTTGAAAAGTAAACAGGAAATGAAAAGGACTGTACACTAAACGAAAAGTTCGTAGAGATTGAAGTTCTACCTTATAGGTTCCCCCCCCCCCTTTCCCTTTCTCTTCCTCTTCTTCCTTTTTTTTTTTTTTTTTTTTTGAGAAGAGACTAACGTATACATAGTAATAATTAAGTTAAATGCGTCCTTGTTGTCCTTTGGCTGATAAACGGATGGTGAAGTAAGACATAGGTAATGAAATCCGAAGGTTTCAATAGTCATGCGCATAACTAGATAAAGGAAGTGAGTTACTACCTTCGGTTCGATGGAGTGGTGGAGATGCTGGTTCTACTGCATCTACCGCGTCTCATAAATTGTTGAAAAGAGAGAGAGTTAAAGATGTTGGTGAGGAAGGGATTTATTGGGTAGTTCGGGATGGCAAGAAGAGAGTTGAAGCTTGACCGATGCGACTAATTTGAAGGAAAAACGAACTGATCAGTGGATAAATTCTTGCAGTGTTTAGGGCGTATGATATCTTCTGGTAGGCGAAGTAGGATCTTGGCGTGAGATTCAGTCTTCAATCCTACTGGAAGTTTGGTTCCGAGCGATGAAGATGAGTAACTTAATCCTTCGCTAAGGTTTTTAACTAGTATAAGAGTTAGGTTACAGTTTAAACAGGATGAGTAAGTACTTCGAAGTCTAATAAAGATACACTATTTCAGAGAATTATAGTTCAGAGAGGCTTTATGGTTACCTGGCTTTCTGTTGAGTCATTCCTCACAAAATTTTCCCTCGACATTATAAGTCTGCGTAAACGAGTTCGAGATGTCTGTAAGTTGAGTCCTCTGATGACCACAAGCGGATGTGGTTGTTGGTAACGTGGATCAGCAGTTTGTTCTTCCGCGTGTGAGTTGATTATCATGGTGAAGTCTGTCCAGGAGAAAAGAGGTTCGATGATCTGATCCATGGCAAGTCTTGGCTCGAAAACGGAGTTTGAGGAACGCGTTTGCCGGTTGGAAGAAGCGATGGGGAGATTGATGGGGCGCTGGTTCTTGCGAGAATCGCTCGTCCCTTACTACAGTTAAGCCTACAGAGCGGTACCAAACCGAAGTACTTGCTGATGTGAGGTGGAAAGCTTGTCGGTGGAGGGAGAAAAAGCAGGACCTATGAAAGGTAGCGAAAGACTTAGTGTATAATTTTGGTATGGTGATAAGTAGGCCGAAGTCCGAACAATGGGTCCGTTATTCGTGAATAGAGAAAATTATTGCATTCGTCGACTAAAGATGATAAGATTTTTCGAGACCTTGATCCTAATGGTGAGAACTGTCTAAGTGTCGCCCTTACTGCCGTCATTGAAGTACGGGTGATGAAGCGAGGTTCAGTCATGAGGCCCTAGGGGTACTGACGCACAAGTAATGGGGTGAGTTATCTCTTTCACTGATGAGAGATTCGGTGATAGTAGTTGTGCGAGAGATAACATGCAGTCTAAGTTCAGCCATAGAGTACGTTTATCTCCAAAAAAAAGATAAGTTACAGTCAGGAAAAAAGGTCGCCTGTTACCTTGTGAATGGGCTATGGATAGAAAAAAGACCATGGAGAAACTTGCCTCTTCGAGATAGCAACCGTAGTTACTATACGGTGAAAGCTTAACGCTGTTGTCGTTGTGCTGCGTTGCAGGTACGGAGAACGAAGCGGCGCCGCAGTCGCGATCGAAAAAAGAGCAAAGGACAAAAGCACAGGGCCTTGCGGGGAGCCTCGGTTAGAAATAGCAGGTCCCCATGGTCATCTGGAAGTGCCCACACTGCGTGCTCGATTTTATAATTGTCCCTCTCAGTCCGATTTGGCCCAATGCTGGCCACCCCTATACGGGATACAGTCCGGATGGACCCCTACAGCAGAGGAGGCCTTGGAAGGCGTAAAAAAAAACAATGAGCCCTTGGTTGAAACTGAGCCCGAAATGTTGCTGCCAAATAAAACCGAATTCCCTGATGCGGAACCTGGACCTCACACTTGTTTAGGTGCAGAGCCTCTGCTAGTTGCGCCAGCCTATCTGACGTCCCACCCAGAGTAAGTGATAGAATTCCCTAACTTCTCTCTTTTACCGCGACCACTGACAGAGTCAGCTTAGCGTACGGCGGCAGCGTAGCTGCCATAGTCTCACGTCCAATTGGAGTACTGCTTCTAAGCCTTCTATGAGGTGGACCCCACCGGACGGCGGCTGGAAAACCCGTGAGGCCATTAAAAACGGCCCACCGTCGTTAGAACGTGTTTGGCAGATTTTGTTGGCACCCCACCGCGACCGCAAACTTTGGCATTGGAAACGGCCGCACTTGCCCGAATAGGGAAACTTAAAAGGCCAGGTCCGAAATAGGAAAGTTCGGTAGGGGCACCGGTCCATGACCTTCCGTTGTGGCTGTACCAGGACATGTCCGCGTCTGGCCCTCCGATGCCATCGGAGAACATGCCCCCCCCCCCTACTCTGTTGGGGGCCATGTTTGGAAAAGGGATGCTGCGATCGGGCAGCGATTTTCCAGACCGCCGACCATGTAGAAACGCATTGTCAGCATTTCGGCAACCCCTTTCCATCACCGGACGGGTCTGGAAAACCTTTCCAAAGAGGCTTTCCACACCTCTTTCCATCACCGGTGGGGTCTCCAAAACGATCGGGCTCTTTTTTTTTCCCAAGCCGTCGTCCGGTGGGGTCCAGCTCTATATGTGCACCCAGCTTAGCGAAGACTGGTGGCTTAGAGGTGGACCCCACATGACGGCGGCTGGAAAATCCGCGAGGCCATTAAAAACGGTCCACCGTCGTTGGAACGTGTTTGGCAGATTTTGTTGGCACCCCACCGCGACCGCAAACTTTGGCATTGGAAACGACCGCACTTGCCCGAATAGGGAACCTTGAAAGGCCGGGTCCGAAATAGGAAACTTCCGTAGGGGCACCGGTCCATGGCCTTCCGTTGTGGCTATACGCAGGTCCAAAAAATGGTCCCCTCCACGGCTGCGTGGACCATGCCGTTTGGCCCGCCGATGCCATCGGAGAATTGACTTACCGTGAGGGCACGGGTGCGCAGCCTGTAGTTCGTTTGTTTATGTGGTTCCGGAAGGGTAAGGTAGTGATTATGTTATATGTATGTTTTGTCATATTTGTTGTACACAACTCGAAGAGAGTGTGTGTGTGGGGTCCCGGTTGGTGCTTTATTCACGATGTTCATGGGACGCTGGACCCAGTTTTCGGCAGGTGGCGCTGTGTGTGTGTGTGTGTGTGTGTGTGTGTGTGTGTGTGTGAGAGAGAGAGAGAGAGTGCACGTGTCCGTGCGTGTATATGTGTGTGTGTGTGTGATATATATATATATATATATATATATCCTACCCCTTAAGCGCGGTGGGCCCACGGTGGGGAGGTCGTGTTCCGCTGCGCGCCGGAATCGGGCCGAACTTTTGATTTGGCCCGGCGGATGAAGGCGATCGAGGGCGGGGGTGCGCGCAGAGCGGTGCGCGTACCCAATTGTTCACAGCGCGCCGGCAAACGAGAGAGCGCGCCCACAGGGGCCGAGAGCCGGCGGGCGTCGATTCGAGTGAATATCTCGAAAGGGCCGCCGTCGGATTGCAGGAAAAAGAGAAAGAGAGAAAAAAAAAGAGAAAGAAATGTTTAACATTTGAAAAAGAGGAAAAGCAAAGAGAAAAA